CAGGATGTAAAAATGTTTTCCAAAACAAACCCACAGAACATCAAATTTCACATTACGCTGCATTCCTTTAATTAAACCGGTGGCTGCTTTATCACAATTTAGTTTAGTGGGCAGCTACACAGTGGGTCCTCATGGCTTCTCACTTCTCCACCTCTTTTTTTAACTTCAGTCTGCAGCAAATAAAATTACCCATCAGCCCGTGATGAAAGGTGTGCAAGGGGAGTCAACAACCGTGATAGAAAAGATTGATTCAGTTTGACTCATCTTTGTTTTCAGGCAGAGGCATGTAAATCCGTCGAGCAAGCCATGAAGAAATGTCCAAACGGCATGTACTCTGAGATCAAGTACGACGGCGAACGAGTGCAGGTTCACAAGAACGGAGACGTCTTCAGCTACTTCAGTCGCAGCCTCAAACCAGTGCTGCCTCACAAAGTCAGTGAATACACACACACAATACAAATTCATGTCATGATAGAACATCCCATGATTTTGCCCCCTGCAGGATTGACAGATTATTACCCAAGTTTGAATTTCAGACCTTTTCCCTGCAGTCGATCTTTCATTGTTATTTTTCCGCTGAAGCCTGACAGCATAAAGCAGACATGGATAAATGGCCCAGCAACATTATTTTCAAACCACTAGAGGTTGCTGCTGTGCTCAAACTACATTACATTCCTCAGAGCCACAATAACAAAGCACAGAAGGATCCACAGTTGATTTAAACAAGACCTCTGGCAGTGTCTGTAAGACAGGAGGCTGTCTGATGGCAGCATAGTGCTTACTTAGGGCGCCATCTGCTGGAGGGGGCAACACCCAAACCAGGAAAAAAATGCAATGACAATTAGAAGAGATGGGCGGGGGGAGGGTGTAATTGAAAAAACATTAAAATAAATGCTGGAAGTATAGACCGTTTTTTTTTAATGAACTCATCTTATCACCTTACACTGTTTTAAACAAGAATAGGGACGATGTCTTGTTTTCACCCAGTCTTCACTCTGCCTGTTATAACCTCTTGTTCTTCTTGATTTTCTAATCCTCTTTTTGTCAATTTTGTTTTTCCAGGTGGCTCATTTCAAAGACTTCATCCCTCAGGCTTTTCCAGGAGGTCACAGTATAATCCTGGACGCTGAAGTCCTGCTCATAGACACAAAAACCAGTAAACCTCTGCCCTTTGGGACCTTGGGCGTCCACAAGGTGAGGAGATGAGAAACCGTTTGTGTTTTTTATTGTTAATAAATTGCCATTTGTGGCCACAAGCATCACATTTCTCTCTCCTGCTTCCTGCAGAAAGCAGCCTTTCAAGACGCCAACGTGTGCCTTTTTGTTTTTGACTGCATTTTCTTCAACGGCGTGAGTCTCATGGAGAGGTAATGATGTTTTCTGCTCCATTAAGTGTCTTAAAAGCAGCTTTGTATTTCTCTCCGTGGGCAGAGAAATCCCCCGATGTGAGACTGCAAACATGTCATTTTCACAAACCTGCAATAAAAATCTCCAGGGCTTGACAACAACCTGTGGGTTTGAAACGCCTTAAACATGGGTTGCTTTAGTTTTAACAGTTTTAATGGTAAAAACCTTTAAAGGGTCAAATAGATTAAATCACCACAAGATGTTGATCTTTTGGCCTCCTCTTTTTCAGGCCTCTGTGCGAACGCAGGAAGTTCTTACACGACAACATGGTGGAAGTTCCGAACAGAATCCTGTTCTCTGAGATGAAACACGTCACGGTGAGTCGTACGGCTCTGGATGTTTTCCTCTATGTGTTCAGTCTGTATATGTTTCTGACTTTGTTTTGCTGTGATGATCAGAGAGCTGGAGATTTGGCCGAAATGATAACTCGGGTCATCAGAGAGGGGCTGGAAGGACTGGTGCTCAAGGATATAAAGGTGAGTTGATGAGGTTTTATTTCAACTTGATTAGTTTGAAACTTTAGCTTGTAAGTTCCACCACATAGAATATAGAGCTGGTTTCATGTGACACAACCGGTTGAAAATACAAAACTAATTCAGCAGCATAATTTTGGCAACGACTAAGCTCAAGCTTAAACATCAAAAAACAATGAGTCCTGCTCTTCTGTCAGAGTAGTTAGCAAACAAAAAGAGTTTAAATACAGATTAGTAACAAAAGCAGTTTTCAAAGTGTGGTCATTAAAAGTCTCTCTGCTCCTCAGGGCAACTATGAACCAGGGAAACGTCACTGGCTGAAGGTGAAGAAGGACTACCTGAACGAGGGCGCCATGGCAGACACTGCTGACCTGGTGGTGCTGGGAGCTTTCTATGGAAAAGGCTCCAACGGTGTGTAAAAATCCCAGCTGTTCTTCTTCTACAGCACATTCCATTTCCTCTCTCTTGTTTTTTTTTTATTCGTCCCTCGACACTTAATCTCGCTCCTACAGAAGGTTTTAGTGTCTCGTTTCTTCATCTGCGCTCAGAGCTGTGGCTGCACCTAAATTAGCTAATCAAGGCGACTTTACTGACGCTGTTAATTTTTAATAATGATAATTTTTTAAATGGCCACCGGGGCTGTTTGGCAGGCAGTGCTCAGGTTTGTGCAAAATGGATATTTAACGTCTGTAATATTGTGATTATATGAAACAATATGGGTCTGAGAGAACTCAGAGCTGTGCTGCCGTACGATTAAAACAAATAAACAGAGTGCTTCACGTCGACTTTAATGTAGAAAAGAAACAAATTGACTTTCGAAACAAGGCGATAAAACAACATAGGACATGGAGAGAAATAAGAAAAACATTAAAAAAAAAAATCAGTACTCTGAGAGAAAAAAAAAACCTTGAATAAATACAACACAGCCTGGATAACAGTTGTCTGCAGGTAAAATGAACACCAACAGAGAGGTGTGCTGCAGCCACAGAGGAGTCTGGGTAATCAGTAAATAACACAGTGGAAGCAGAACGAATGCAGACCCAAAGGTGGACGCCAGTAAATCAGAACAGTGGAGACGACTCCCACTGAGTGGACATAATGTAATAAAGCCGTAACGTGAAACAGTCAGATGGAGACACTTGTCTGAACACAGCGGTGGACTGAAGTGTGAAACATGAAGAGATTGTTTGGGGAAATAAGTGTTTAATGAAAAAGAAGAGAGTTTTTTTCCAGCATCAAAGATTTACAGGGATTTAGCTTTTTTTACTGGAAATATTTTTTTTATTTACAAGGAATATTTGTCTGAATAGGTTAAAATGAACATATGAAGTTTAACCAAAAGAAGGTACAATTTAGCCAAATGTAGCTCAGACATAACTGGACTAAAGAACTGAAGTGAGATTTCCTTTTCTTTATTGCCACTAGGGGGCATCATGTCCAGCTTCCTGATGGGCTGTTATGACCCAGATTCAAGAAAGTGGTGCACGGTCACCAAGTGCTCAGGTGGCTACGATGACGCCATGCTGGCCCGACTCCAGAAGGAGCTGGACGTGATCAAAATCAGCAAGGTTAGAGAAAATCCACCTGGTGACAGGAAGCTCTATATTCATCTGGACTGTATAATGACTATATATATATGTGTATGTGTGTGTTTGTGTAGGACCCAAGTAAAATCCCAGGCTGGTTGAAGATCGTTAAGAACTATTATCCAGATTTCATTATACGTGATCCTCAGGTGAGATTTCCTCATTCAGCCTATTGTTTTACTGCTGACAACAAAACTGAAGTCATTGTAGTCATTGTAGCTAAAACGATCCCTGAAAAAAAGTAGAAAAATATCTGCCGTAGAAGTCAAAAATTAAATATGGAAGCTTAAAGTTTGCTAGTAAATTCTGTTAGTATAAAACAGCTGTAGCTAATAGGTAACATCTAAGAGTGATTATTAGAATTATCGAAAAGATAAATTAAATGTTTAGGGTTAGTGAAAAGTATTTAGAGAATATTTGACCGAGAAGTCAAGATGTTTTGTTGGTCAAAATACATGAAATTAATACTTCATATAAAAACCTTAAGAACTATTTTTCTCACATTACAACTGATGCAAAAAATTTGTCCTTCAAATCTTTTTTTTTTACCAATCATGTTATTCCTCTTGCTCCCACAGCAAGCTCCAATCTGGGAAATCACCGGAGCAGAGTTTTCCAAATCAGAAATGCACACAGCCGACGGCATCTCCATTCGCTTCCCACGCATGACCAGAATCCGTGACGACAAGGACTGGAAGAGCGCCACCAACCTGCACCAGCTAAAAGTGAGTTTGATGTCTAACACTTCTTTGTCTATATAATGAGGGTAAAATATTTTCTTACCGGGTGACAACCAGTCTTGTCTAAGGCCTGAGATAATTATGGTGAGATGAAAACCAGTTTTAAATCTTTAATGATTGTCTTTTTTTTATTCCAAACAGGAACTGTTCCGTATCTCTAAAGAAAACTGTGACTTTCAAGTGACTGCAGGAACTTCCAAAAGCGACAAGAGCTCCTCAGGAGGAGACAGTGGTGGAAACTCACCATCACCCTCAACACAAGGGGGTGCTCACGCCAGCAAGAGACCTGGTGAGTTAAAAGTCCATTGAAACAACAGTTTTATTCTCATCTCTATCACTCTGTGATCGTGCCTGTTAACATTTGCCTTTTTTGTGCTAGCTGTAAATTAACTTATGGTATATTTAAACTGTTCTTGGCTAGTTTTTAGCTAACGTTGGCTGTTTTAATGCTCACTTTTTGAACATTTAGAAGTTCTCAACAAATCTCAATTATCTTCAGGTATTTTCTTCTATTGTCATCTATCTGTTAGCCAATTCTTAGGCAACACTTTTGTCTGTTTTATTAGCTCTCTCTTTTTAGGGATAACTTTTAGCTATTATAATGTTTAGTTACATTTTGGGCGTTGACCTTTGTAGCCATTGTATAAAAAAAATAGGACATTTACTATATTTTAGTCAAGCGCAGATGGATGAATTCAATCTTTGTTTACAGGCACAAGTTCTACACCCAAAAGTACTCCAAAGCAGGAGAAGGCTCGACCCCGTCCTCCATCCACAGAAGAACCTGTTGCTAAGAAGGTGAGGTTATAATTTCACAGTAAATGCTGCTGGGCAGTAAAGTGGTCAGGCAGCAAGTTTAAAAAGTGACAATTTCCTGTTTGACCACCAGGTGAAGAAGAACGACAGTTTTCACAGCAACGGTCAGATGACAAACAAACCGACAGCTGAAATACTGCCACCGAGGAACGACAAGGTTAGTGGAGGCAGTTATTTCACTGAGGTCATTGTCAGTTATGGGAGGAAAAAAATGAGGCTTTAAATCTGCTGTCAAAAAATGTTTTATTGTTATTATAAATACATTTATACACATAAAAGTGTTTACAGCTCTTTCACACATGATCCTTAACATTTTCAGAAAAGTTTGACATTCCACAAGTACATCTGTAGAAGACAATGCTGAAAACACTCATTTTGTGGAGTAATGTATGGGTAGGTGGCGCTGTAAGCAAGTATTTGACAAGGTTGAAGGGTTCCATTTAGGCAACTGGATGTGAAGGGTTCTCAAGAAGACATTTGGCCTCTCATCCAAGAGGCTTCTTCAGCTTCTTCAGTTCAGAAGTGAAGAAGCTGAAGATGACTCTTGGATGAGAGACCAAACGTGTTCTTGAGAAACCTTCACATCCAGTTGCCTAAATGAAACTCTTCAACCTTGATCAAGACCTGCATCTTCATTGACAAGGATATGACAGTATTTCATTCCTTACTTATGTCATACAAGAAGGCATCATGATTTCAGTGTTGTAGAAAATACCAAAAACTGGATCTATAATTGCTATAATTGCATTTAAAATGAGTGACTTTTACGCTGCAGTTTAGTTTTCACCCTCATGACTTTTGCTCTTTCGGGTCTCTGTGCAGTAAATGCCAATGATGTGCAAAAAAGCAGTGATTTAATTTAATCTTCACTTATTTCATGTTTCAGTTAATGTCCTGTCGTCCCTAGTGTCTCCACAGTGACATTACCTTTTTGTCCAACTGTAGACTCTGATCGACATCTTCAGTGGCATCAAGCTCTACCTGCCTAAGTCCACGCAGGACTTTGACAAACTGCGACGATACTTCATCGCGTACGACGGCGACCTGGTGCCAGATTATGAAGCCGCCACGGCCACACACACCATGGCCGAACCCGAGGAGGACAGCCAGGCCCGCAAGGTGACGCCCAACTGGATCTGGGAATGTATCCGCAAGAGACGAGTGGTCCCTCCCTGCTAACAGGACAAAAATAAAACAAGCGCAAAAAGACAAGTTTTTAACAAGAGTCCTCATTACACCAGAACTGATTTTGAACCTGAAGAGGTTTGAGAAAAAAAGTCAGGTTTCTACACAGAAGGATTTTTGATTTTCAAGGAAGTACAGACCCATCTACTGAAAGGATTACTTTCAGGATTTTAAACACAGTTCTCACTCCAGGGATAACACTATTGGGTTGTCCTTTAAAAAACAAACAGAGGCAGAAAACCATTTTCGATCCCACCCTTTAACTATCTACCACTGAAAAAAAAATATCAGAAATGTCTGTGTATTTTCACTAAGTGGACATCAGGTAAGACATTGTGATGTCAGAGGACTTGACTGCACTGGCAGCAGCAGCAAGAACCCTCTTGAATCACATAGTACTAGAAACCAGGAAACACTTTCTATGGATGAAATTATTATACTCACCCCAGGAAGTGACAACAGCACCTTGGACAGCGCAATAACTGTAACAGATGTAGGAGAAGTTGTTTAGTCCCTACAAATAGTCTTTAAAACAGCTGCAACAAGCTGTTTTCCACCATCACAGACATCTCACAAAAAATGGGTTTGTATTTTAGCAGCGGTCTGTACAGTTTTTAATGTCAAAGTGATAATATTTTCTAACTCTGCTGATGAACTGAAGAGTCAATAAACAGACTGAGGTGAAAGAATCACAAAGAGGTTTCTGTAACGTCATTGTAAAATTGTTTGAACCACAGTTTGCCTAGATAGACGGTTATTTAACAATGTGCTACATGTTCACTAAAATCCCAACCTAAAAACTAGTAAAAAAAAAAAAGACTAAAAAGAAAACTCTAGAAAACTCTCCCTCATTTTTTGTGGGTAGCATTAATACACTGTCTTGTCAAACAATTACTAGATGTTTGAGCAAATGGATAAATATTAGCCAAAAGCTAACAAGAAGCTAGCCCAGAAATGGTAAGTAAAATAGTGCAGAATGAGTTTAAAGTTACATTTTTAAGTTTTCTTTTGCATAAAGACTGTTTTACAGCCTGGTGGACGTCGTCAGTGTGAAATACTACAACAACCAACAACCCTAGAGCACTATAGGTAAGTAGGTATTCTTTCAACTATTCAGTAATACTGCATTAAGATGTATTGTTTGCACAAAAAAACCCAGTTAAATTTAACCTAACAAATATTACAAAATACATCATTAGAAACATTAGATCTAAAAATGAGTTAAAACAACTACTTATTTTAATTTTAACTAACAGCCTAAAACATGAGTACAGCTTAGAGTTGTTAAAAAAAAAAAAAGCAACATAAGTTAGTTTAGAAAAGTTTCTGTTTTACCTTTAAACCACTGAAGAGTTGTTTTTCTTCTTCCTCAGGAATCAGACTCTTCTCGTTTTCTTTTTCCAGACGTGGATGTTTTTGTTTGACTCCAGAATCTTAAGTCAAACTCTTCTCTGAGGAAACAAGGCTGAAACAAACACACATAAACAAACTCTTTATTATGTTTGTCATGCACAGCAGTAGAATGAGGTCCACTGCTAATTGGATGTGTTAATTTTTGCTAACTGAACTGTTACGGAATAACTCTTAGCTGTTTTTGCTGTTCTTTGGACAAACCTCGAGCTAGTTTGGCTAAACAGTATCATATATTATTATATTATATATTTAGTGAGTTTGATTAAATTTCTGTTAAATTGTAACTTACATCCATTGAAATACTTGCCAAATAATTATAATGATGTACTGTAATGTTGGCCTTTTTGTAGCTTTTTTTTTTTTTTTTTTACTTCCTGGAAACGACTGCATTAATGAATAAATGCAGAGAAGTCAGACTCATCTGTTTTAACCTGGGGTTTTCTGACCAACACTTGTTTTCCAAAGATGACAAGTCATTTGCTTAATGGCTAAATTGGCCTTTTACACTAAAGATTAATTGGGTGCAGCCTGATTTATTCTTTACTTATTTTAGCCTGGAACAAACAAACAAACAAACAATAAAGTCGTGCATCAGCAGAGTCTGATGATAATGAAGGTGTGGAGAGTTTAAAGGCCTGCAGCTCCACACACTGGTGTAATCGTTAATCACCTAAGTCCAACCTCAGCGCTGGATTAATCTTTAATGTTTGACTAATGATTCAGATCATTGATAACACATGGTTACTACAGAGTTTACACTGCCCCCTGCTGGGGAGAGTGTGAAAATCTGCTGCTCCTGCTGTTACCTGTCTGGAGGACTTAATGAGCGTTGCAGAGCGGACACTGGGTTGGATTCCTGTACCGGCCTCCTCCACACGCTCCAGCAGGACTCTGGTTCTGGGGATGTGACTCCAGGAGACCCCGAGGCCCGGCTGGACATCAGTACCACAACTTCGGCTGCTGCTGGTGTTTCTGGTCACATGGTTTGTTACCTACAGGTCCAGACAAGAAGGTGAGTTTGTAATGTTTCAGTGTCAGACTGACCCTGAGAGTACGTTTTTGTGTCTGTAGTACTTTACTGTTACGCTACTCACCAACACAGCAACATTAAAGTCCTTGGCCATTGTCCTCAGAATTCCTGCCACCTGGATCATCAGGGACATCGCTGGAGACGACAGAAGGACGTGGATCAGGTCAGTGAGAGGACAGAGTACACTTCACAACCAGAGTTGTCCCAATACTTTTTGTTTCCCAACTGATGAGAAACCTTGATGACAAACTTCTTTAGGTTTGGTTTCAATAATAGGAAAATGAACTGGCGTTATACACTGTACGTGGTCCGGCTCCACTCCACCATTAACTACTAAAATAAAATAAAATAAAACTAATGGAAGAAAACCAAGGTGAGGTAGGTTGGTTAGATAATTCTGGTTAGGTAGAGTTAGTCAGTATTTCCTGGTAAACATGACTGATTGTATCATTTTAACAACATTTACAACAGGAGTTCAGATTCACCAGCTGAAAGAACTTATGTAAATATTGATTTAAGTATTTCAATAAACCGTATTTCCATAGTTTGGTTTTGAGTTTGCACAGACTGAACCGTTAGACTCTGCATCACAGCAGTGTTAGAATTTAATAACTGTCTCCCTTCATGACTCCAGAATTCTAAACAGTACTTTGGAACGTGTGTGTGCTGTGCAGTTATACAAGTCGTCCACTGCTTTAAACTCAGGGGGGAAATCAAAATGCTAATTTTTACCTATGGCCCAGCAGCCAGTAGCATCTTCAGTGTATTTCTGTGACCTCAGACGTCCTGCTCGTCCGCTCAGAATGATAAAGCATTTCGCCCCGCGGGTGAAACAAAAACGCTTAGATGTGATGTTTTTGCCGACTGAGCCGCTCGCTGCCGTAACCTGCTCCACACAGCAGCAGAGTGTGAGGAGACGATGGTGGGGATCATAAAAGATAGTCCCACAGGGAGCTACCTAACAGACCAGGACCTGACTTTGAATAACAATAAGCGCAAGTTCAACAAAAACGCAAAACATTTGGACTGAAAAAAAAAAAAAGGTCAGGTGTAGAACTGAGAGCGATTAGAGGCAGCATGTTTGTAAAGCACTGATAAAAGCAGCAGTGAAGTTAATTTGTTTAAATTACCAAAAAAGAAGCTCATTCATCTGCTTAAAAATAAGTTGAAAGAAATGAGCTAAGTCCACCATTAGCTAAGTGTTAGCAAAATGTAAAATGGAGCAATTACTAAAAGTTGTTAGCCTAGTACTTTGTCATATTTGTGAAAAGTGAAAATTAGTGAAATAGTGTAACTCAATCAGCATAATAATAGCATAAAAAAGCCAAATTAAAACAAGCAGAATAGAAAAGGATAACTGACAATTAGCCAGCTTTATAAACTCCCTAGGGTCAGCCATCATTATGAACAATAGCAGCCACTAATATAGGAAACATTCCAATGTTCCTGGCTTTTTTTTAAGCCAAAAACTTATTCCGACAGACGGCTCAAAGTTTGGGAAAATAAAAAACAACCTTAAGGTTTGACAAATTTCCCCTAGAAATATACTAAATAAAAATTTCCCTGACAGCCAGAAACTGTAGGAGTGTCTTTTTTATGTCACACTTCAGCTGACGGGCCTTAAAACTGTGCTCAACTTCAAGAGTTTTTATTTACCTTTTTACTTCTTTTTAACAGTTTGGACGTGTGATGTTGCAGACCGGGGTGTAAACACAGACTCAGAGAGCACAGTATCAGAGAAAATAAAAACACAGAAACGTCACCTTCAGTGTGATTTCCCCCCAGCAGAGGAGAGATAACGGCCGACACCGAGTCCACGATCACTGCCTTCACAGACCCACCACTGACTGACGCCTAAAACCAAACATGACAACTTTAGATTCGCTGAGAATCTAAGTTGATTTTCCTTCCTTTAAAGATTCCCCTGACACAGCAGGGGGGCCGCTGGTGTTATTTTTGAGCAAGTGCAAACAAACCTGCTGAAGGCTGACGCCCTCAACACCACCACCACCAGCAGCAACAGCAGCAGCAACAGCACCACCCTCAACACTGCTGCTGCTGCTGCTGTCACTGCAAAGTGTGTGCAGGCAGTGGAGTAAAGCAAAGATGTCAAACAAACGGCAGACGCGGATCCTCTGAAGAGCTTCCATCTGTGAAGTCGGAGGCGTTTGTTATTATTTACACATCACACGTCAGATTACATTTGCCTGGAGATGTTTTTTCTTTGTTTTTGTCCTCTCCACCTGCTCCTCCACGTTGCAGGTCTGGGCTCGGAGCATCTGAAGCAGGCGGCTGGCGCTCAGTCCTCCTGTCGTATCCACGTAGATCACATTCTGCTTCAGCTGAAGGGAAACGTGCACGGCCACGCCGAAACACACCTGCCACAAACACGGCAACATGAGAATTTGAGAAATTACAAGTCGAGGTGTTTTAATTCACATCTGTCACTCCAACAGGCAAACTCTTTGCTGAAGCTTTTAATTATTTTTTTTATTGCTTTTTAGAATTTAGCAAAATTTCAACAGAAATAGCTCAATGTTGCCAAGACATTTTTAAACAATAATTAGTAAAAATGCAATTGTCATTTGGCTTAAAGTTAAAAACAGATATCGCTATAACACAGATCACTCTAAAAACAATTCAGAAGGTAAACAACAAAGGAGAAATACCAAATATAAATTAAAAAATATTATATATATGAAACTATGTTAAACTTTTATTTTTAGCTCAAAAGGCTATGCTAAAAGCTACTTTATCTGAAGAATTTATTTACCATAACGTTCCAAATGTTCTATCTAAATTCATGGTTCCTAAACCGTTTCCTCAGAACCTTTTAAACCATGCCCTTTGCCATGAAAGCCATTTTGAAGTCTTGGCTTACGACGGCTACAAAATCCCAATGTAACTGAACCGAACGTATACGTATATGAACAAAACAAACAGAAAAGTTCAAGCATGATACGTCTTGTTGTAATCATTTCACGTTGCCAAACCCTGGCACTGTAACAAGGCGGCGCTGACTTATTTATACCTGCTGTGTTTCAAACAGGGAACATTGTCTTATTCAATAGGCGACAGCAGAGGATTCTAAAGAGAGAATTTATGAAAGCGAGATCCTGGGCGACAGAGTGAAGAAGCAGGAAATGTTCACCTGAGATTTCCCACTTCCTGGTCCTCCTGACAGCTCCGTGATCTCTCCGGTATACAAGCCTGAATCCAGCAGTTTATCCAGGCTGTGGAAGAAAAAAAAAGACACAAGGTAAAACATTTTTCCACTCATCGCTGCCAAAGACTGTCATAAATTATTAAGTCAACCACAAAAAAGCTGCAGTCGGGTAAATAGAAACAGAGCAGGAGTGAGATTCTAACAGACAATCTATTAATAGAACTCTTCAATGTTCTCATTTCACTCACTGCTTTGGAATGTTTAATGATGGGACTTTTTGAGTACCTTGTGCTAACTTTTAACTTTTTTTGTAGTTCTTTTTAAAGATAACTTTAACTTTAAATATACTTCAGTTGACTATTAGCCTTTATTTATTTATAGAAACGTTACTTTGCAACATATTTGGCAAACCCAGAGATTTTTTTTTGTCCTACTGTTTTTTCTCTTTTTATTGCTATTTTATGCTGATTTAAACCTTTTTAGAGCTAGACTGTTACTATCCCACATTTTTAATTTGTTTTACTCCTTTGCATGTTGTATTTACAATTTTCTAAAGGCTGGGCTAACTTTTAGCTATCCCTTGACTGTTTGATAACATTTTCCAAATTATTTTAGCTTAGTCTTAAGTTTTTTTTTGGGAACACATATTATAGCTAATTACTAGATAATTTGAAGCTGCTTTTTAATTAGTTCCACTGTCTCTGCTACTTCTTGGCTAACTCTTAGTAAGGTATTAAATTTAGCTGTTAAAAATAAATCATTTCATTGAATTCCTTAAGGTTGGCATGTTTTTATACTGCATTTGTTCAGAAAGCCTGATCTGAGTCGCAGTTTATTTTCACGCAGTTTATCATTATTATTATTTTTTTAAATATCCTTTAACCAGTAGGCCACCACAATCCTCTGGTGTGTCGTTATGAAAGCAGAGCTGAGCTGCAGAGCAGCCCGTGGAGACACCATTAAAGATTTATGACATAACTTTTACCCCGATCATCAACAACACATTAAAAATCCTTTTCTAAATGAATGAACGTTTTCCAAACCACAGTAAAGACGAACACAAAGCCCAGAGGACGAGCTCTTCTGAGATCTGTTATTCATCCTGCTGCCACCATCAGGTCACCCACTGTAACACCTAACCTTTCAAATAGACAAGGTCACCTTTTCATTATAAATGGTTGATCCTCACTGAACAAACAGGTCTTCATCAGGTCAAATCCTCTGGACTAATTTATTCTGTATAACCAAACTGGTTTCAACCAAAATAAAACTAAAATGTTCAAGTCAAAGGATGTCAACACAGATGGAGTCTCCTGAAGAAATATTAATAATGAAACGTAATAATATAATCCTTAGAAAATTGCAGATGTGCTTGTCAGAGTGGCTGGAATTATTTCCTGCATTATTATGTAGATTATCTGAGATTATTTTATTATCTGATTATACACACACACACGCATATATACATTATGTACTGCCCTGTTCTGCCGACACCTGCTGAGGAGGACGGACACTGGAACCGTCTTCACTGACGGGAGTTTTGCCGACTTAGTAAAGGTCTGTGCTTAAGATCCATAACCTTGACAGTCTTGTTATGGGCTCTTTGTTGCTGCAAAGGTAAATCTTCTTTCAGCTCCACCTCCATACACCTCCAGTCATTTACACGCCACTTCTCCCACCCTGGTGTGCCCGCTCTTTTTATTAGTTCACACTGTAAAAGAAACTTTGGCCATAAATCACCGCAGCACCATTAATTTCCTCTGGAGCTCAGTGAACAGAGGCTGAACTGACGTGAAGGTTTTTTTGCCGATTAAAGTTTCTCAGTTTACCATCAGCAGCCAATAACGTTCCCGTCCTGCTACCTTTTGTTTTTGAGGGGGTGAGTTTGGGAAACAGCTATCCTGTCAGACTGACGCAAAATGGTGGAAACACTAAAAACTTGTTCTACTTTCTCCGTAGGAACATCTCTGCTGGGAGGAGCTTCAGCCAACGTCAGAGTGAAATATGGAAACACATCTGAGCAGTGGAGCGTTCGTCCAAACAGATATTCCTGCTTTTAATGGTATGTACTTGGTAATTCATACCGGTGTACTATTATCTCCAGTCATAGTAAAATAAATATATTAATAATAATGTATATATGTTTATACAGGAAAAATATGCTCTTAAAATTATTTGGTAAAATAAATTCCACGCAATTTCCTTCGGACAGAACAGCAGGGCCGAATAGTAGAATAGAAGTTCCGGAAGTAAAATGATATCCTCGTGGTCGATGTCCTGGCTGTAGGTTTAATAGTTAAACTTCAACCATAACACTTTCTGTGAGTTCAAACACTGAAGTGACTCCATGGTACTGTGAAATGCAGTAATTGCACGAGGAATTATAATTTTGGGTGATGTTTGCCACAACCACAGTTACAATTTTGTTCCAGTGAGGTTGTAATTTAAATCTGAGCTGCGTTACCATAGTTACCATTGACACCATGTGGTTGTTTGAAGGGACGGTCGTGTATGGATACACGTACTGTCTGGGAGCCATTCTTTTTCTGTAGCATGGAATTCCACCACCTTCACTTGTTGCAAATTACATTGAAACATGGAACAGTCTGATCTACTGCGTCAAGAGTGATATTTCAAATCACGTCTTGAAGGTCTTGACGGCAGGTCTTGTCAGTGGTGATTGTCTTCAACCACTAAATACAGAGATTTCTCCCAACTCCCCGCCGGCATAAATGATTGCAGAAGGCGGCTGGTTGCGTCATCCTTATAGGTCAGTGCAGTCATGGATGTGTCAACCTTACAGTAAAAATCTGGATTTCCAAGTTCCTCCAACTTGAAGGTGAAGCATCACTCCAGCTCTGTGGTTGTCAGACACTGCTCCTCATCCTCGGCCGCAGTGTGATTGTGAAGAGGAGAATTGGCAGTGAGCGGACACTCCTACATTATTCCAGTCATTTTAGGGAACGGCAGAAGAGAGAGTTGCACTGCTGATGAAAACACAGGGTCGCAGTCACTTGTGAAGAGCTTGGCTTGATTAGTGGGACCGGACTGGGAGCAGGCGAGAGGCTCTGATTTTGTTGTTGAGGCTGGGAAAGATTACTGCACGCAAATATTCACCATCTGTGGCCAAACAAACTGGGGGTAATAATAATTTAAAGGGGGCATATCATGCACATTTGCCGCTCCACTTTATTAAATTCAGCAGCTCAAATGGCCAGAGCTTTGTATAATTTAGAGATAAACAAACTCCTTATTCATATTTATGCAGCCCTGCAGCTTAGTCTCTGTACAGAAAGAAAAATAAAAATACTTTGAGTCTGTGTTTCTTTGGCTCCCAAGATCACCGAGCAAATAATCCTGTTCCGATTCACAGACTTTTCTTATTTATTTTTCCTTAAATGGGTGTGTTTCAGCCTTAAAATTGAAAAAGAAGGAGAGAGGATGTATCTATTCTGGTAAAATATAAATGGACATAATGTTAAGTATTTGGGCCACACCATCAAAACATATCTATCCTTAGGCTATAACTAAACCTTACACTAGGTTTTAGCTCTTTCTGGACCTGTACAGAGGCTAAATTCTCCTATTTTAGGCCTTGGCTAACTTTGCTCTATGTTTTGGTTCCTATCTCTTTCTGGTGTTTCTTCTCCCCTAAATTCAACCTACTGTTGTCACTTGTCTGTCCAACATTAGCCACCGTTAGCTAACTAAACTAAGACAGTTTTATTTTTTGTGTGGCAATTTTATGGCTCGAGTTTAGATATTTTCAAATTTAGGGTCATTTTTTTAATCTATGTTTTCGTCTTTCCCTTTTTCCGCTTTACAATAATACAATACCATAATAACGTTTAGTACAAAATATAACCTAGAAAAGTGAAACCAAGCAGGACTAATGTACTGCTGGGATTTTTACTTTTTGTGTAGGCATACCAAGAAAATCTGACTAATTATATATAGTGTATGTAATACCACCTCTGCATAAACTGGGAACCATCAAAACTGCACAGCAGCACAGAGGCCCATCCATCAACACTTCACTTTACCACCAGAAGAGCGCAGCCAAGACTCACTCACAGTCTGCACTGACTCCACTGTCACACTGCTGCCGCTTCACCCTCATATCTCTAATATAACACAATTACTAATTCATGAAAACCACTTAAAGTAAACACCTGTGCTCATTCATTACAACCAAACAGAGATTTTAACACAGGAACACGGAGCCGTCCGATATAAACCAAACGACTCTGGCCTGGCTCCACGGCTCTGCCCAGAGCTGCCTGACTCTGTCCCTGCCAGAGAATATTTCCACCAGCTAAAAAAAAAAAATCTGAAATATTTATCCGCTGTGCTTTTCTGCTGAGATGTGACTCCATTTTGTGCTGCCAGCTCACATTTACCACAGAACTCTGTCTCACTTTGGCAGGTTAAATATAAAGACGTGATGCACAGAGTCAAAGGTCTCAGCCAATGTTGGTGGTTTTGGCTAAACATTGATTTAGTTTCTTTGATTTTGGTTGTTGTTCTTTACCAGCAGGGACTCTGCAGGGCTGTAAACGGACTGCAATGTTTTGCTTTTTTTCCCAATATTAACAGGTATGTTGTTTTTTCCTCAAGACAGTAAAATACAATACAGTACGGTATAGTGCAGAACAGTCCTTTTGGTCTGGTCTGCCTGCAGTCCAAATCTGTCTCCAGGTAAAAATAAAGGTCCCCCAACACATGCAGGGAGAACCATTCATCGAATGTATCGAATGTAATGTATGTTTTTTTTTTCTTCTGAGTCTGTTCTGTAAAAACACTGAAAGTATTTTCTTACTTTTGTGCTTTATTTCTAGTTACCAACTTACAGATTTTAGTTCATTTTATATATATTATATATTGTGTACCAACTTTTCTAGAAAATTAATGTATGTAATTTTAGCAAGGAAAAATATTTGTTTGGTTTCAGTCAAAGTCAATTTATTTGCCAATAGCCTCATGACAGGCAACCAGCCATCTGTCAGCCTGTATTGATACAGATAAATATTTGGGTCATTCGATGCTAACAGTGGCAAGACATTAACATTTTTGAATATGGATTTATTGCTAAAATGTTTCTAAGCCACTGTCACTCATGTTTATTCTCCGCAGCAGGCAGGAGCTGTGAGGCCGCACTGCCAAAATGAAAAGAAATAAGGAGAGCAGCCGAGGCTGAGCTGTTAAAACCACTCTTCAGAGGGAGGGAGGAGGCACATGGACTGTTTCCAAATGAGTCGACCTGTCCGCTGTATTTTTAACTATGGCAGCCAAACTCTGACACAGTTCAATGCAAATTTGATTCTAATGATGCTGAAAAGATTTCAGGTAGACAAAAAAAAAAAAAAATCAGACAGATACAGAGGAATCTGTTTACAAACATCTCTGGTAATATACGACACTATTGATTTCACACTGTCCTGTGATGGTGCAGAAGCCACTAAGTGTTTTGACCAACAATAGGAGATGTAAACACACTCTCCACAGCCTCGCTCTTACTTTAGCCATTTTAAAAATAATTTAAATACATTCTTTTTGTCAAATCTGTTCAGCCTATTAGCTACATTAGACTAACCTCTTCATATATTTGACATTTTTGCAACACTGTAGCTTTTTAATTTTTAACTATTTTGGCTAATTTTAATTAATTTATTGTCAACTTCTCCCCCATTTTTGTGTGGTTACAGTTAGCAATTTTTGTCCAGACTGTTGCTAAATTCGATTTAAGTATTTTGGTCGTCTTTCAAGGTCCGTTTACAGTATATCAAACTTTGGGCTTATTTTTTTAGGTAGAACTTATAGCTTCTGATTGGCAAGTTTTATCAGGCTCAGAATAACAAAACTGATGTGATGTGATAACTAGTATCACAAAAGGATGTCTGTCGTTAAATATGTGGTTGGATGCAGTATTTGGGGGATAGTACTTAGGAGTACATGTGTCGAGGTCCCCTAAGGCCTCGTGGCACTGAGCCCATTCTTTTATGCCTGGAGCCCCTGGATGACAAAGCGGTGTGTTCTGCGATGTCAGCAGATTTGTCTTTACCTGGGATTTCCTGTGGAGATGATAGCTGTGGAGCTCAAAAGTTCCTCGTAGAGATCAGCGCCTGACACTGGAAAAGCTGAGTGCTGGGCCAGCAGCACTCGACGGATGGCATAAAGAGCCTGAAACAGGGAAGAAAAAAAAAAAGAACATTAGCGTGTCTTGTTGCTGCTGCTGTGTGGATCAGGGGGCGACAGCACAGGTAAAAAGATGTTAGGGTTAGCTATGGATGAGTCACTGGCCAATTTTGGAGTGGTGTTTTGCATGATGAAAATGTCAACTAAAACTAGGCTCCTTTTCACTTTAATTACAATTCTTATCCTAGTTGTTTCTTTCAAAAACTGGACTTGATGTCAATTATTTTTAATTCAAAAACCCTTTGAATTCAAGGGATTTTAGCTTTTACAAAAAAAAAAATAGTGATTGCCTCATTAGAGTGGGGTGATAATTACGTGTGCGTAACATCTGAGAACTCTGATGTCACTCACATTCGATTTGACCATCTAATGGAAATATTTCTAGCCCTTTAAAATCCACTCTTAGGCATTATGAATTTTTATCATGTGAATTGTATTGAATGTAATGATTTTTTTGTTGTTGTTGAAGGTCATTTGCAAATCAGTCACCATGCTGTATCTCTAATCTCCCTCTATTCTGGAAATGAATAAACTACAGTACGCAGCATGGTGCCAGTCAGGTACGTACCACAGCCCTAACAATTGTGTTTTCTTTTAAAATTGTTGCATCATAAATCTATGTCAAAGAGTCCATGGGCAAATATTATTAGATTTACGAAAGTTGAACTTGGCATTCAGGTCAAAACATTGTCTTCAGCTACATCCTACGACATCAACCTCATTAGTCTACAGCACTTGTTGCCATTTTTCTGCACCACTGTGTGTCTATGTGAATACTTGAGTCTTTTTGCTTTGTTTTACATGGAAATGATGGCTTTTTAACTGCATTTCTTCCAGAAGAATCTCATTCTGCCAGACAGTTCCCAAGAGCTCAAGCGTCCTGCGTTCCTCGTTGGACTACTTTCTGCCAATTGGAGCTAATGGCAACGCTAATCAACTTGCAGTTTTGACGTAAGTAATCAGGATTTGCCTTTCGTTTATTACATTTCCTTGCTCAGACTCTACTGCTAGCCCCTAAATGTTGACTGAAATTTAAAACTTTTATTTTAAAAATCAATGTCAATCATATAATACTTTACTGGTGGTAACTGTCCACAACTGCACTGCTGTTGGATTATGCAACAGTAAAAATGTGTCCACTTATTTTAAGTTGTAAAGTACTTTGATGGAGATTTTGTTTTATAATAAGTCTGAATGTAGCAACTCAGACAGTGAAAACTTTGAGATTATTTTTATAATCAATTAATTCAATCAGTAGTCTAATTTTACATGCAAATTTAGGCTTGAAAATAGCAAAAGGCTGGAAATAAAAGGGTAGAGGTCAGAATGAATAATTAATACACTACATGAAACTACTGTAGTGGAAAACACAGGCTTTTTATTCTGCTCACTAACCAACCTCGGCCGAGGCATTTTGTGATCAAAGTGGGAAAATATCATCAAACACTGGGGAGTCCAGTTTTCTGTGGAAAGACCATTTAGCAGTGTTTAACAGATTCACTCTCTGATTAGTCTCTACTCCAGGGCCGAGAGGAGTTTTTGTCCAACAACAGATATTTATTTACCGCAATGAGGCAAATCTGTTGGGTCTCAATTAGCAGGGATTTTTTGGCGCTCTGTTTTAACACGTGGCCTCATAACAAACCACGGCCATGTTTTGATTAAAAACTCTTGCCTTGCCCGGCGTCATTTGATCCGTGAACATCCTCCTCAGACTCACAAATGTGTTGTATGTGTGAACTAGCTTTGACCTGCTACCCGTTGTTTGTGCCAAACAAAGGTTCAAATCAACAGCAGGAGTCTAGGAACCAGTGGGATGCTGGGATATCAGCTCAGGGGATGCCTTCAGGCGGAACAAGAAGGTCAGGGATTGGAGCTCAGTCACTGGGATGAAGCTGAACCTGCTTCAGGCACTGACTGAAAAGTATTCAAAAAATACATTATGATCTCATGGGAGCCGGGGTGAGAAGCTGCCAGTCACTTGTTCTGCATCTGTGTGAGTGTGTGTATGTATGCGTGAGGACTGAAATGGGAGGGGGCTCCTGTGACACTTTCAAACTCAAATCAGCTCAATCAAAGTGGAAAAGCCCATGAAACAGCTCTGTATTCTGACAGCTGTCAGTTAGCACAGGATGCCCCTCCATCTCAGGGGGGCTCAGTGTAAACTTTTCCAGTATCACACAATGAGTTATGTAATCAGAAACTCAACACAAGAGTAATCTTCAGCAGTTGCTGCTGGGGTCTGACAGTTTAGCACAGAATCCCATAGAATAGTGACAAGGACCATGTACACAATATGCTGGTACTGGTTCTTCAAAATTGTGCAGTTAAAAATACTCTGGACCCGAGGTAAAAATGTCACCATTTTGTGAAACACTTTTTTTATACCTAATTAATCCACCTTCTAACACTAACACAAATCTTTTCTTAGGGTTGGTTCATGCAAAGTAAATTATTTCTAATCCTTTGGAAACACCGGACACAAACGTAGACCCCTTTGTCTCCTTAACATCATCTAGTGCCCACGTCTTTCTTGAAGCTGTCTTTGGTTGTATTATTATTGAAATCTTGACATTGGCCCAGAAGTTGCCCCCTAGCCAGTAGTTTGGGGGTTTATTACGTAGAACTATATAACTGTATTGTAAATACACATGGTAAATCCCAAATCATTGTTTGTCCAAAAATCAATTCACCAATTTCGTGAACTGAATTATTTGTGCTTCTAATGTCATTGAAAAAAAGTCCAGAATGTACTTCACAGTTTCTTTCCTCCAACTCTGTGTGCCTCTCAGAGCCGACTCATTTAAACCTAACACAGCTGTCCTTTTTCTGTGGGTTCAGCCTGATATTGAAGGACTTTGTCTGGCACATTCAATAAAGGGTATTATTCAGGTTTACCTTCCCTGATGGATGAAAATCTTTCAAGTCTTTATTGCCTTTAAATGAGATCTGCTGATTTGGAGAATGAAAAGAAGTAAATTTAGTTGTTGCAGCAAACAGGCATTTAATATTAGGAGGCCCTGAGGTCCCAGAAAAGGTTTTATATATTTATTTGTTTGTTTGGTTTTTATATAACAGTAGCCTAAGGTTTTTTTGTGTTGATTTCCAATCCTTGGTAATTTTTTGAAAAATGTTTACAAGGAAAATACATTAATAATACAATTATGTTCCCATTTTCATTATTTTTAGTTTAAGTATTGTTATAGTTTACATTCATAATTAATTTCTTATATATACATTTTGTCCTGTACTATATAGTTAATATTAATCTATAGCTAAAACGTGTGTGTGTGTTTGGTTGATTGAGTGGGATTTACCTTATAAGATACGGAACATCTGTGGGCGAGGTCTTCGAGGTTTGACGACACCAGATCCTCCACTTAGGGTTGACATAAACATGTATATTTATGTAGCTAGATTGTTCACTTAAAAAAGCTCATATAATACAAACTCATGTCGACATACCTGTTTTCACATCAGCAGCTCTTAGGTCCCGAACTAAATCCGAATCCAGTCCAGGGCACATGTCTGCTCTCAGGAATACCATCCTTTCTTTTTAATAAGTAAACAAACTTCAGGTGCTCACGCTAGTTTACTGTAGCCTGTTAGCTCCGCGGTTAACTTTAGCTTTGCTCGTTTAACGTCTTTAAAGGTCCTACAAAACATTAGCGAGCTAAAACGTTAATAAACACAATTATCGACAGACTTAGACCTCGTTGACTGCAACCGACAGGAATTGACGTAATTAGGGCTAAAGGCTTTACGCGAAAGGAAACAAAACGCGTTCATGTCACTTGCCGTAGTTGTTAGCACTTGCTGGGGTGTTTGGGAAATGTAGTACATTGTTTCAAAACTTATTGATGTTCATTATTAAGATGAAAATTAATACATATCATATCAGATTCCATTACATCTTTATTCCTATTACACCATGGTTGCTTTTTACAGCTTGGGGCCTAAATGCATCCAATATAGAGGCTGTGATGCCTATTATTGTTGTCTCATTTAGATTATCTCATTGTTATATATGTTAACTAACGTTTGTTTATTTATTACTTTCGGTTTAGGTTAAATTTTTCTAACAATTTAATTATTTTTATTTATTATTTAATTAATATCAATTCTAAATTTAACATTGAGTCAAGCCTCTAGTTATAGCAGCCAGACATTACCATTGAATATGTCCCAGAAAAAAGTTCTAATCTAATACAGAGCATTTATTTCCAAAATAAAAACTAATGTTTTAAATAAAATATGAGCATTTCGGCAGAGACCTACTTTCAAAATCCTGAAGGTTGTTGAGAAGAATTTGGGCTGAATTTTAAAGATTTGTGGATAGGGTTTATTATACCCTCAGAGATTGTATCTCTTAGCATTAAGGTCATTTAGCCTCAGGCATGACTTCACTAAGTGGAATTCTTCAGCATCCTTAAGTGTATTAGAAAGATCAAATGATTGGATAAAAATACGGAATATTTGACAAAACCTGTTGCCCCCTGCACTACTGTGGAAATAGTTGTGGTACTTTCAAAGTCAATGACCCTCACGATGAACAAGCCTCCAGTTGGAATGATGTTGAGGAGAAGCTGAGAAGGGCATTGACTGTGGATCATTTTTGTCACTCTTTAGTTCTACTTCTGACCTGCTTCTGCTTATATGCTCTCTGTAAAGCCGCCTCTGCCATGCTATTAACCCAAGTTTGAAGTACTTTTATCAGGAATAATTTTCACAGCTCAAGTGTCCTTGAAAATGGAGCACATGATTATGGCTTCTTTCTAGTTCTGCATATACTTTAAATAATCTCCAGTCAAATACTTATCATCAGCAACAACGGTTGTGGAAATGGGGGATAGAAAACAGATTAGCAATAATGATAAACCTTTAATTAAAATTTTTTTTTTGGTGAGTGTCAGTGCTGCTCCATCATAAGATGCCACCCTGGGCAGCTGCCTGTATATTTTTGATAGTTTCTTTTTCGTGCATTATGCTTTGTTAACCTCAATATTTAGCTAATTTGTTGTTGCATAAATAATTTAAGAGTTTTTGGCTCTTTTTGGATATATCTATGCAATTTAAGCTATTACTTAACTAATTTTCCACCTGTTTTCTGTTCCTTCTGGAAAATTGTTGACCCACATTAATGCAAGAAAAACAGTTGTGATTGTGGCAACAGATCATGGATTACAATTTCAGATTAGGTTAGGATTAGCTGTGTTTTGAGGGCTGCGTGTCTGACTTTGTAATCCAGCCAACATCTGTCAAAAAAATATCACTTTGGACCTAAAATGTCAACCTGCTGGTGGCGCTGCAGCAAAAGTCATGGAATAAAGTCATTAGGATGGATTCTTTCTGACACATCACAGTCTGGACCAATGTTTGTGTCTGTGCAGTGAGGCCTAATTGGCTGAGTGTGGGAGGTTTGATCTGTGGGTCAGATGTGAATGTCCTCCTTGATATTTCTCTGGCCTTTCACAAACTCCTGGTCGATGCCCTTGTTTTTTTGTTGTTGTTGGTGGTGGTAAAGTCTGACCCTTTTTGGTTTTCCAGGTATCATCAGCCTCAGGGTAACAAATAAAGATACATTTAGAAAAACTCTAAATGTGAGGTTGCGCTCTTTAGAGGCAGCCTTTGTTGATATTGATCTATTATTTTTTATTACGACCTCTAATCAATAGGAGAAGATGAAAAGCTATAAAGTGCTGGTCTAACTGTTGTATGAGGAGCATCATGTTCTCCCTACTGACAAATCCACACCGACTGCAGTAGTTGTAATGACTCAGACAACGTTATAGGTGGAACTTGACCTCAGAGACATAGAAAAGGCCTGAGAGGAGATAGTCTACTAAACTGTGTCTCCTACAAATTAAGTTTATTAAAGTGCAGCCTCAAACTGTGAACACGTTTGTGAAAACCACAGCCGGAACATTGTTCCTTTAGTAATCTTTTAATTTTACCTGTATTTTGTTGAGCTTGTTGCTTTTTTTTCCTGGTCTAACTTTAAAACAGTCAGTTGATAATCACTGAAATAGAATAACATTGATTTTTTTTTTTATAGAATCCACTTAATTTTTTTAGCCTAATTTTAAGAACCACAGTTTAAAGATTTTATAAGAAAAAAAAACGACAGTTTTAGGGAAACAAATGCAGTGACCTGATTGTTGCTAAGGCAACTATTTGTATTAGACTTCAGGTGTTTATGTTTGTGTGTGTGTGTGTGTGTCAGAGTTATATGACTGTACCATGCTGCTGGTTGGTTTTCAGCTCTATTTTCATTCTGATTGGTTGGATCCTCTCCAGCAGCTTCTGCAGATAAATCATGTATGACATATAAATAATTGACAACATGTGTCTTGGACAGTCATGTAATGTGATGGGAACCTGGCTCCATGTAAACGCAGACACCTGTATGCTAACTGTGACCTACAACAAGGATCAAACCAAGTCGTTCCTGGTTTCGTGTCCTTGACTTGCAGTTCAGAGGAGTCAGCCACTGATCTGCATGTATGCTTACACTCATGGGAAACATGGCTGTCACTCCTCAGTATGTCAGTACCATGTACAGTGTGAGGACTAAAGTCAACAGAAGTGTCATAACTACTGCACCGACTAGTAAGTCTACTGCATAATTTAGTACAGGGAGCCTCAAACCAAGGAGCCTTAAACTGTAGGAGAGAAAGAGAAGGATATATATGTATGTATATATATATATATATATATATATATGTATATATATATATATATATATGTATATATATATATATATATATATATGTATATATATATATATATATATGTATATATATATATATATATGTATGTATATATATATATATATATGTATGTATATATATATATATATATGTATGTATATATATATATATATATATGTATATATATATATATATATATATGTATATATATATATATATATATATGTATGTATATATATATATATATATATGTATATATATATATATATATATGTATGTATATATATATATATATATATGTATATATATATATATATATGTATGTATATATATATATATATATATGTATGTATATATATATATATATATATATGTATGTATATATATATATATATATGTATGTATATATATATATATATATATATATGTATATATATATATATATATGTATGTATATATATATATATATATATATGTATATATATATATATATATATGTATGTATATATATATATATATATATGTATATATATATATATATATATATGTATGTATATATATATATATATATGTATGTATATATATATATATATATATGTATATATATATATATATATATATGTATGTATATATATATATATATATGTATGTATATATATATATATATATGTATGTATATATATATATATATATATGTATATATATATATATATATGTATGTATATATATATATATATATATGTATATATATATATATATATATGTATATATATATATATATATATGTATATATATATATATATATATGTATATATATATATATATATATGTATATATATATATATATATATATATGTATATATATATATATATATATGTATATATATATATATATATATATATATGTATATATATATATATATATATGTATATATATATATATATATATGTATATATATATATATATATATATATCCAAAACTGTTCTTTATAGAATGGACGTATGAGAGTTTTTTTTGTTTCTTTCTGTTATTTTTTCAGTCAACTCCAGTGTATTTGTATCCCTCATTACTACATGTGCTGCCTGGTAACTCCTGTAATATAAAAAAAAACAATGTATATAGGGCCAGGGCCTACCATAGTATATAAACAGGATACTTCAATAAAGCCCATTGTTGACATTTACAGTTGGCTTTAAAAAATAAAAATCACAGCACTGTGGCTGGGAGAAAATCATTATTGATTTTTATTTTTCCATCCCACACCTTCCTAATAATAAAGATGTGCGAAGGGACCTCGTATCAACAGAGCACTGTGTGTGGAGATGGCCTTTACCGCTCCAGTCTGATTGGTCCTCATGTCTCATGGATCCATATCTTCCATGTTAATGATGGACGGTCATCAGTGATGCACTTCTTTATCATGGTTGAGGATGGAAACCTCTGCGTGTCAGGAGAGAGTTTTCTTCGTCTCATGGGCTTGTTAAACTGATTCATTCAGTAGTATTTTAGGACCTGAAAGGTGAAATAATATATGCATATGAAAAAAACAACCATTATATTTATACTTACCATATTTAATACAATGACTTAACTAAAACCAAGAGTAAATGTTTTATTGTAGAAATAATTTTGCAGCATGTAAAAGCAGTGACAATTTTATTGCACAAAGTGGGCCACGCTATAGCACCACCAACATCAAAATAAATTGTGGTTTTTAGCTGCTGCTAAGGTGGAAATGGTTGTAACAGCATTAGCTCTAGTCTGAGACACATTTGCATCTGATTACATACAAAACAGTGTATGAGCTCTTCGGCTTTACCAGAAACGATGTTTTATGATTTCTGTTTCTTTTTTTTTGTAGTGGCAGCCTCCAGAAACGGGCAGCAGCAGTCGCAGTTTTCCTTGGAGATGAAATAATCTTCAGTTCAGCCCTGACTCCACTGGACAAGTGATGAAACCAAATGTCGAAAAGAAAAAAAAACATTTATTGGACAACTAATTATAAATATCTACAGTTCTGCAGCTAGAAGTAAGTCATCTCTCCTGTTCAGTGCTTACCTATGGTTGGCAATAGTGGTATCAACACAATAGATTTTTTAAACTTATTTTCTATTTATGTCCTCTTTCTAGTACTTGTGTTTTGTGGTACCTGGCATTTATTTACATTTTTCCAATTTCTTAGTTTTTGAATAGACATGGTTCCTGAAAATGTTGTGCATTTAAAAAAACATTTATTTTAGAAGTAGTTTCAAGAAAATGTCAACAACAATACACCTAAATAGTTTTCTTTTTCTACAGTATTTAACAAAATATATTTTTTTATTATTTATTTATTTTATTTTTTTACAGACAACAATTAGTATGTAGTTCCAGGAAGGTTCTCTCATTTTATTATGGATTATGGAGATCACCTGGAGGTTTCTTGGTCTTCACTCTGAGCTCACTTGGACATCACTTGAGATCACCTGGAGGTTGCTTGGTCTTCACTCTGAGCTCACTTGGTCATCACTTGAGATCACCTCGAGGTTGCTTGGTCTTCACTCTGAGCTCACTTGGAGGTCGCTTGGACATAACTTAGAAGTCACTTGGACGTCACTTTTTTCCAAAAATTTTTTTTTCTTTTTCCAAAAAAAAATTCTATTTTTACAAAAAAAAATTCTAGAAAAAATAATCTAAAAAAAAGAAATTTCTAAAAAAAGAAAATTTCTAAAAAA